AAGGGGGGAAGAAGGTTATTTTTGCAGTTTTTATAATAAAAAGTTTTTAATTTTTTTTTACAATTTATTTTTATGTTAACTTTAAGTTTCTTTTTTAATTATTATTTCTTATATGTTTAAAAAGAGTTTTAGCTAAGAATCTTGTGTTTATATTATTTATATTTTTTACAAAATGTTTATTGTTTTTAAAGGTTTTGTAGTTAATGTATGTATGGTTAAGGATTTATTGCTAAAACTCTTTTTTTTTAAACAAAATAACAAATTGGGGTTTTATATATTTATTACTATTTTATATATATAAAAAATTATTTAACTATTTCAGCTTGAAAAAAAATAATGATTTAGCATATTCTTGAAAGTGGTTTAACTGATTATTCAGTTGTAAAAGAGTTTGGAATTTTTATTTTAAAGAGCCAGATTGCTATGAGTTCGAGAAGTCTTCTGTATTAAGTTCTTTGAGATCTTATAGTTTAAAATTGTCCCTTCTTTAAGACTTGTGTGATTTAAAATGTATCCTTCTTTTTTGAATATTTCATAAAGGTTGATTATTTACAAGCCTGGTTCAATACTATTTCATAAGAATATTTGGAAGTGATAAAAAGGTTTAAATATCAAGTTAATTGCTGGATAAAGTTTCCCTTAAGCCAAGTAACTGTAGCTGAAGTGTTAAACTTGATTTAGTAAGTGAGTCCTTGGTTCGATTCCCAAAAGCTGTCTATCAACAACATCAGTTTATGATAAATTTTTAGTCTCTATCAATAACTACAATTCATCACAGCGCCCTCTTTCGGCGGTATACTCTATAGCATTAAACGACGAAGTAATATTTGATATAAACAGCTTTAAATGCGCCTACTCAACATCATTGGGACATTTACAGAGATGTAAATTATGAAATGTTCTATCTATTACAAATAATCCCTGATTTCCAGGACTTAAACATATTAATTTACGTCTTTATAGACTCTTATAAGAACTGGTTTTATGTTTAAGCTTGGCAACACAAATCCTATATAATGAACTTTAATTTCGTTAACTAAGCGCCCTTAAATCATACATTAAACGTCTATTTTTCTTCCTTTAAGTCTTACAAGGAATTATATAAAGTTCTTGCGAGCCGGGCTGGATAAAGACAATTCAAAACTAAGTTAATGAACTTGGATTTTGTGGACTTAGCGCTTCTACAGGCAATTTTCTTCCTTTAAGTCATGATAGGAATTATATAAAGTTCTTGCGCGTCTGATTTCCTTAAAGTCTTGATAAGAATTGTATGGAAGTACTTCCATCATAGTTTCGTGGTTGAATTACAAATTAGAGATACTACTCAAGATCAGTGGCGCGAAATAGAAGCAAATTTTTTGAAATGAAGACAAGAAGTTTAAATTTCAAGTAAATTGCTGTATAAAGCCTCTCGTAAGTCCAGTTTTCATTTCGGGGCTTACAACTGAAAACCTTGATATTGGAACTTAACTTTTCTTGATCAATCATGAACATTGAAACAAATTTCGAAATGAAGACAAGAAGTTTTAAATTTCAAGTAATTGATGGATTAAGCCTCTCGTAAGTCCAGTTTTCATTTCGGGGCTTTACAACTAAAAACCTTGATATTGAAACTTAATTTCGTTGACTTAACTTTTCATTATTCAATAACTTTTCTGATCAATCATGAAAATTGAAACAATTTACAAATGAAGAGAATAACTTTAAATCTCAAGTAAATTGCTGGATAAAGCCTCTCGTAAGTTCCAGTTTTCATTTCGGGGCTTTACAACTAAAAAACCTTGATATTGAAACTTGATTCCGTTGACTTAACTTTTCATTCTTAAATAACTTTTCTTGATCAATCATGAAATTGAAACAGTTTTTCGAAATGAAAACAAGTTTAATCTCAAGTAGATTAATGTATAAAGCCTCTCGGTAAGTCCAGATTTAATTTTTGGACTTAACAATTGAAAAACCTTGATATTAAATCTTGATTCGTGGACTTAGCGCACTTAACTTATAGAAACAAATTTCGAAATGAAGAAAGAAGTTTATTTAAATCTCAAGTAAATTCATTTTTTTAGTTTAACGATGCAAGTCTGATATTGAACCTTGATTTCGTGGACTTTTAGCTCCCTAAATATACGACTATTTTACTTTCTTCAAGTCCTATTAAGAACAAGATTTTGTAAGCCAGGTTTCGTTTTTGAATTGCAAACTAAAGATATTACTCAACATTATTAAATTGGCTCGTTAAAGCCTTCTTTAGCTCTGGTTTTATTACTGGGATAAGAATTTTAACTTCCCTATAAAATAAGAACTGAAATTAGCTCTAGGTTTAGATAACCTCATGAACTCTTAAACATCGGGAAAACAAGTCTACGAATCAGTTCAAAGATTCTGCATATTAAAATTTACTTTCTTTAGTTTTGTAATTTTCAAACCAAACTGCATCCTATCGATCCTGTGTAGTGCATTTTCTATTTCTATAATTAATTATGCTACTGAAGTCAGCAAAAGTTTGCCTAAATACAACATTACTCGTCCAGTTGGCCTTGCTTTCATAAGCAAACTCGATGTTTTGTCTGATTTTTGTAAGACGAATTCTTCGGCAACGAAAATACTGCACTCTTTCGCATCGCCACTTCTGAAAAGCAATCAATTGTTTCCGTAATTTCCCAACCAAACTACTCAAGAATATCTTAAACCATTTAAAATATCATCAAAGAAATTGAAATTTTCTTTAAACTATAACTCCATATCTAAATTAAAACCTCTCTTTTATAAATACGATTCACAATTCCCTCTTCCTCATCATATTACCATCAAACAACCAAAAAACCATATAAGTTTTATCGACAAACATTTCTAATGAAATTCTTTTATTTTATCTCTCCTTTATTTTTTCTCCATTAACGTTAATTTTTGGGGATGAATAAAAAAAACAAAAAACTCAATTAAAATACAACAGCAAAGAGTCTCCCTATGCCAATGTACCCAACGATATGTTCTACTGTCATCTCTGCAAGAAACACATGTGGGATGCCAACTCATTTGAGAATCACATCAAGGGACGCACTCATTTAATGATGCGCGAAGGTATAGAGAAAGCTATCGTCTAAAGGCCAATATGATCCGTCAGGAAGCCAAGATTGCTGAGCAATTGAAATCCATTGAATTGGATCGCTTGAAGCGTATGGGCAAGAGCAAGCAACGTCAGTTGGACTACTGCACCATGTGCGATTTGAACTTCCATGGTCATATCTCGGCCCATCGTAAATCCGAGGGACATTTGCAATTGAAGAAATTCTTGCATCCCAAGTGTAATGAATGTAACAAGGAATTCGCCACTCGTATTGATTACGATACCCATTTGTTGGCTGCCGAACATTTGATTAAGGCCGCCGAGAAGAATACCAAGGTTGGAGAACGTAAACGTCAGACCTTGCCTATTCTCACCGAGGAGGATGAATTGAAGGATGTCCGTCCCCCCACCAAGAAGAAGAAGAAGGCTGCTGCCAAGAAGACCACCGAAGCTGGTGAAGGTGCCGAAGTCAAGAAGGAAGGTGAAGAAGAAGCTGAAGGCGAAGAAGCCGAAGGTGAAGATGCTGAAGCCAAGAAAGAAGGTGAAGAGGGTGCCGATGAGACCAAGGAGGGTGAAGAATTGAATGAAACCCAAGAAGGCGAAGAAGAAGAAGTTGCTTTGCCCGTCGATCCTGAAGACTGCATTCTGGATTTCCATGATGGTGATGAGATTCCCACGGAAGTCGACAACCGTTTGCCCCAAATACAACTGGACCCGCCCAGTTGGTACCGCTCTCATCACCAAACTCGAATGTTTCGAGTGCTCATTGTGTGGCAAATTCTTCGACAACGAAAGACTGTCGAAGTGCACTCTCGCACTGTCACCCATCACCGCAACTTCTTGAAATTCATCAACGAGAAGGCCAGCGACACCAAGATCGCTCAAAAGCGCGCTGCCGCCGCCATTGAAGAAAGCGAACGCAAGAAGCGCAAGTTGGAAGAAGCTGAAGCCTCTGCCAACGGTTGAAGGTGAAAAGACCGAAGCCGCCGAAGGTGCTGAAGGTGAATTATACGATCCCTCAGAAGCCACCGGTGAAGATGAGGATGTTGAAATGAATGAAAATGGTGAGGGCGCCGAAGAAGGTGGTGAAGGTGCTGAAGCCGAAGAAAATGGCGAAGAAATGGAAACCCAAGAAGAAGCTGAAGAAGAAGCCGAGCCAGAAGCTGAGGCTGAGGCCGAGGCTGAAGCAGAAGCTGAGCCCGAACCTGAGCCAGAGCCAGTCAAAGAAACACCTAAAGCAGAAACACCCGCAAAGACCGCCACCAAGACTGCTGCTGCTCCCTCAACACCCGCTTCCGCTGAGGCCTCGCCTGCCAAGAAAGCAGCGACACCTGCTGCCCGTGGTGGTGCCGCCAAGGGAACGCCGCGTAACCGTGGTCGCGGTCGCTACAACCGTTACTAAGCTAGTTTATTTAGCCTTCTCTAAGCAACCTCCTCCCTCCCCTTTTTCTAATCACACTTTCCTTGAATTGTCTTGTGGAAGTAATTGACGCGAATATGTACTATTCAGCAGAATGATTTCATGACACTTTTCATTACATATATTTTTTTATATAAATTAAAATTTATTATAATTTAACAAAAAAAAAAAACCAACAATTTCATTTAATTACTAAAACTTACAAAAACCAATCACAAATCATAAAACAACTTTTTTTGCTAATTCCTTATACCTTTAAGTTGTAACTATAGTTGTAACTTAATTCAAACCAATATATTGATTGCATTATAAATGACACAGGAACACGTTTTTAAAATAACAATTACATTAAACTAACAATTAAATCCGCAAGCTCATTCGGTTTACTGATAAAATACACGGACATCATTTTTTAAAAGTATGAATTACTGAATGAGCTCCATAAAAGAAACCAATAAAAATAAAATATTTTAATTTTAAGCTATTAGTTAATAAGTATTAATTAAACTTTGATTGATGAACGCTAAACAAAATATTATTCAGAGCCCATTTATTATATACTTATCTAAATAAACTCTTCAAAAAAACATGAAAAAAATTAATTATCTAAAATCTAGAAAATAATTTTATTATAAAAAAACAAAACAAAATATAAATTAAAAAAGCAAAAGAAAAGAAATTTTCTGTAAAAAAAAAAACAAGAAATAACATTGGAATAATGAACAAAGAAATTTAAAATTTAAATACAAATAAAACATACCAATGTAAGTGTATAAAAAAATAGTAAATAAAATGTGTTTTTATTTTATTAGGAGAACAATTTGAAACTTTAAATCGCTTCAATTGCAAAAATAGTGAAAATCTGTGATCACTCGTATTTTCCTCCAAAAGTTGCTCTTTATATGAGAAAACTAAAATCGGCCGTAGATCCTTAATAAAGCTCCAATTTAAAAATTATTGCAAATCTGTGATCACTCATATTCTCCATAAAAATCGATTTCTATATGAGAAAACCAAAATCGGCCGTAGATCCTTAAATAACGCTCCAATTGCAAATATAGTGAAAATCTGTGATCACTCATATTCTCCATCAGAAGTCGATCTTTATATGGGAAAACTAAAATTGGCCGTAGATCCTTAAATAACGCTCTAATTGCAAAACTAGTGAAAATCTGTGATCACTCATATTTCTTACCAAAAATCGATTTTTATATAAGAAAACTAATAATAAATTGCAAAACTAGTGAAAATCTCGTCACTCATATACTCCATCAAAAGTCAGTCTTTATATGAGAAAACTAAAATAGGACGTAGATCCTTAATAACACTCTAATTGCAAAACTAGTGATAATCTGTGATCATTCATATTTCTTACCAAAATACGCTTTAATTACAAAATTAGTGAAAATCTGTGATCACCTCATATTCTCCATCAAAAGTCAGTCTTTATATGAAAAAAACTAAAATCGGCCGTAGATCCTTAATAACACTCTAATTGCAAAACTAGTGAAAATCTGTTATCATTCATATTTCTTACCAAAAATCGATTTTTTATATGAGAAAACTAAAATCGGCCGTAAATCCTTAAATAACGCTCTAATTGCAAAAACTAGTGAAAATCTGTGATCACTCATATTTCATACCAAAAATCGATTTTTATATGAGAAAACTAAAATCGGCCGTAGATCCTTAAATAACTCTCCAATTGCAAATCTAGTAAAAATCTGTGATCATTCATATTTCTTGCCAAAAATCGAATTTTATATCAGAAAACTAAAATCGGCCGTAAAACCTTAAATAACGCTCCAATTACAAAACTAGTGAAATCTGTGATCATTCATATTTCTTACCAAAAATCGATTTTTATATGAGAAAATTAAAATCGGCCGAAAATCCTTAAATAACGCTCTAATTGCAAAACTAGTGAAAATCTTTGATCACTCATATTCTCCATCAAAAGTCAGACTTTATATGAGAAACTAAAATCGGCCGTAGATCCCTTATATAACGCTTCAATTGCAAAACTAGTGAAAATCTGTGATCACTTATATTTCTTACTAAAATCGATTTTTATATGAGAAAACTAAAATCGGCCGTAGATCCTTAAATAACGCTCCAATTGCAAAAACTAGTGAAAATCTGTGATCATTTATATTTCTTACCAAAAATCGATTTTTATATGAGAAAACTAAAATCGGCCGTAGATCCTTAAATAACTCTCCAATTGCAAAACTAGTGAAAATCTGTGATCATTCATATTTCTTACCAAAAATCGATTTTTATATGAGAAAACTAAAATCGGCCGTAGATCCTTATATAACGCTTCAATTGCCAAAACTAGTGGAAAATCTGTGATCACTTATAGTTCTTACTAAAAATCGATTTTTATATGAGAAAACTAAAATCGGCCGTAGATCCTTAAATAACGCTCCAATTGCAAAACTAGTGAAAATCTGTGATCATTTATATTTCTTACCAAAAATCGTTTTTTATATGAGAAAACTAAAATCGGCCGAAGATCCTTAAATAACACTCTAATGCAAAACTAGTGAAAATCTGTGATCACTCATATTTTCCATCAAAAGTCAGTCTTTATATGAGAAAACTAAAATCGGCCGTAGATCCTTAAATAACGCTCCAATTGCAAAACTAGTGAAAATCTGTGATCATTCATATTTCTTACCAAAAATCGATTTTTATATGAGAAAACTAAAATCGGCCGTAGATCCTTAAATAACGCTCCAATTGCAAAACTAGTGAAAATCTGTGATCATTTATATTTCTTACCAAAAATCGATTTTTATATGAGAAAACTAAAATCGGCCGTAGATCCTTAAATAACGCTCCAATTGCAAAACTAGTGAAAATCTGTGATCATTCATATTTCTTACCAAAAATCGATTTTATATGAGAAAACTAAAATCGGCCGTAGATCCTTAAATAACGCTCTAATTGCAAAACTAGTGAAAATCTGTGATCACTCATATTTCTTACCAAAAATCGATTTTTATATGAGAAAACTAAAATCGGCCGTAGATCCTTAAATAACGCTCCAATTGCAAAACTAGTGAAAATCTGTGATCATTTATATTCTTACCAAAAATCGATTTTTATATGAGAAAACTAAAATCGGCCGTAGATCCTTAAATAACGCTCCAATTGCAAAACTAGTGAAAATCTGTGATCATTCATATTTCTTACCAAAAATCGATTTTTATATGAGAAAACTAAAATCGGCCGTAGATCCTTAAATAACGCTCCAATTGCAAAACTAGTGGAAAATCTGTGATCATTTATATTTCTTACCAAAAATCGATTTTATATGAGAAAACTAAAAGCGGCCGTTGATCCTTAAATAACGCTCCAATTGCAAAACTGGTGAAAATCTGTGATCACTCATATTTCTTGCCACAAATCGATTTTTATATGAGAAAACTAAAATCGGCCGTAGATCCTTAAATAACGCTCCAATTGCAAAACTAGTGAAAATCTGTGATCACTCATATTTCTTGCCAAAATCGATTTTTATATGAGAAAACTAAAATCGGCCGTAGATCCTTAAATAACGCTCTAATTGCAAAACTAGTGAAAATCTGTGATCACTTATATTTTCCAAACTAGAATCGGCCGTAGATCCTTAAATAACGCTCCAATTGCAAAACTAGTGAAAATCTGTGTTCACTCATATTCTCCATCAAAAGTCAGTCTTTATATGCGAAAACTAAAATCGGCCGTAGATCCTTAAATAACGCTTCAATTGCAAAACTAGTGAAAATCAGTGATCACGCATATTTCTTACCAAAAATCGCTTTTTACATGAGAAAACTAAAATCGGCCCGTAGATCATTAAATAAACGCTCCAAATGCAAAACTAGTGAATATCTGTGATCACTCATATTTTCCAAACTAGAATCGGCCGTAGATCCTTAAATAACGCTCCAATTGCAAAACTAGTGAAAATCTGTGTTCACTCATATTTTCCATCAAAAGTCAGTCTTTATATGAGAAATCTAAAATCGGCCGTAGATCCTTAAATAACGCTCTAATTGCAAAACTAGTGAGAATCTGTGATCACACATATTTCTTACCAAAAATCGCTTTTTACATGAGAAAACTAAAATCGGCCGTAGATCATTAAATAACGCTCCAAATGCAAAACTAGTGAAAATCTGTGATCTCTCATCTTCTCCATCAAAAGTCAGTCTTTATATGAGAAAACTAAAATCGGCCGTAGATCCTTAAATAACGCTCCAATTGCAAAACTAGTGAAAATCTGTGATCACTCATATTTCTTACCAAAAATCGATTTTTATATGAGAAAACTAAAATCGGCTGTAGATCCTTAAATAACGCTCTAATTGCAAAACTAGTGAAAATCTGTGATCACTCATATTTTCCAAACTAAAATCGGCCGTAGATCCTTAAATAACACTCTAATTGCAAAACTAGTGAAAATCTTTGATCACTCATATTTCTTGCCAAAATCGATTTTTATATGAGAAAACTAAAATCGGCCGTAGATCCTTAAATAACGCTCCAATTGCAAAACTAGTGAAAATCTGTGATCATTTATATTTCTTACCAAAAATCGATTTTTATATGAGAAAACTAGAATCGGCCGTAGATCCTTAAATAACGCTCCAATTGCAAAACTAGTGAAAATCTGTGATCACTCATATTTTCCAAACTAAAATCAGTCTTTATATGAGAAAACTAAAATCGGCCGTAGATCCTTAAATAACGCTCCAAATGCAAAACTAGTGAAAATCTGTGATCACTCATATTTCTTACCAAAAATCGATTTTTATATGAGAAAACTAAAATCGGCCGTAGATCCTTAAATTACGCTCTAATTGCAAAACTAGTGAAAATCTGTGATCACTCATATTTCTTGCCAAAATCGATTTTTATATGAGAAAACTAAAATCGGCCGTAGATCCTTAAATAACGCTCCAATTGCAAAACTAGTGAAAATCTGTGATCACTCATATTTCTTGCCAAAAATCGATTTTTATATGAGAAAACTAAAATCGGCCGTAGATCCTTAAATAACGCTCTAATTGCAAAACTAGTGAAAATCTGTGATCACTCATATTTTCCAAACTAGAATCGGCCGTAGATCCTTAAATAACGCTCCAATTGCAAAACTAGTGAAAATCTGTGTTCACTCATATTTTCCATCAAAAGTCAGTCTTTATATGAGAAATCTAAAATCGGCCGTAGATCCTTAAATAACGCTCTAATTGCAAAGCGTGATCTAATTGCAATATGTGATCACACATATTTCTTACCAAAAATCGCTTTTTACATGAGAAAACTAAAATCGGCCGTAGATCATTAAATAACGCTCCAAATGCAAAACTAGTGAAAATCTGTGATCTCTCATCTTCTCCATCAAAAGTCAGTCTTTATATGAGAAAACTAAAATCGGCCGTAGATCCTTAAATAACGCTCCAATTGCAAAACTAGTGAAAATCTGTGATCACTCATATTTCTTACCAAAAATCGATTTTTATATGAGAAAACTAAAATCGGCTGTAGATCCTTAAATAACGCTCTAATTGCAAAACTAGTGAAAATCTGTGATCACTCATATTTTCCAAACTAAAATCGGCCGTAGATCCTTAAATAACGCTCTAATTGCAAAACTAGTGAAAATCTTTGATCACTCATATTTCTTGCCAAAATCGATTTTTATATGAGAAAACTAAAATCGGCCGTAGATCCTTAAATAACGCTCCAATTGCAAAACTAGTGAAAATCTGTGATCACTCATTATTTCTTACCAAAAATCGATTTTTATATGAGAAAACTAAAATCGGCCGTAGATCCTTAAATAACGCTTCAATTGCAAAACTAGTGAAAATCAGTGATCACGCATATTTCTTACCAAAAATCGATTTTTACATGAGAAAACTAAAATCGGCCGTAGGTCCTTAAATAACGCTCCTAATGCAAAACAAGTGAAAATCTGTGATCACTCATATTTTCCAAACTAAAATCGGCTGTAGATCCTTAAATAACGCTCTAATTGCAAAACTAGTGAAAATTTGTGATCACTCATATTTTCCAAACTAAAATCGGCCGTAGATCCTTAAATAACGCTCCAATTGCAAAACTAGTGAAAATCTGTGATCACTCATATTTCTTGCCAAAAATCGATTTTTATATAAGAAAACTAGAATCGGCCGTAGATCCTTAAATAACGCTCCAATTGCAAAACTAGTGAAAATCTGTGATCACTCATATTCTCCATCAAAAGTCAGTCTTTATATGAGAAAACTAAAATCGGCCGTAGATCCATAAATAACGCTCCAATTGCAAAACTAATGAAAATCTGTGATCACTCATATTTTTTGCCAAGAATCGATTTTTTTTGAGAAAACTAAAATCTGCCGTAGATCCTTAAATAACGCTCTAATTGCAAAACTAGTGAAAATCTGTGATCACTCATATTTTCCAAACTAAAATCGGCCGTAGATCCTTAAATAACGCTCCAATTGCAAAACTAGTGAAAATCTGTGATTACTCATATTTTCCATCAAAAGTCAGTCTTTATATGAGAAATCTAAAATCGGCCGTAGATCCTTAAATAACGCTCCAATTGCAAAACTAGTGAAAATCTGTGATCACTCATATTTCTTGCCATAAATCGAATTTTATATCAGAAAACTAAAATCGGCCGTAGATCCTTAAATAACGCTCTAATTGCAAAACTAGTGAAAATCTGTGATCACTCATATTTTCCATCAAAAGTCAGTCTTTATATGAGAAAACTAAAATCGGCCGTAGGTAGATCCTTAAATAACGCTCCAAGTGCAAAACTAATGAAAATCTGTGATGAATCATATTTCTTACCAAAAATCGATTTTTATATGAGTATAATCGGCCGTAGATCCTTAAATAACGCTCCAATTGCAAAACTAGTGAAAATCTGTGATCACTCATATTCTCAATCAAAAGTCAGTCTTTATATGAGAAAACTAAAATCGGCCGTAGATCCTTAAATAACGCTCCAATTGCAAAACTAGTGAAAATCTGTGATCACTCATATATTTCTTGCCAAAAATCGATTTTTATATTAGAAAACTAAAATTGGCCGTAGATCCTTAAATAACGCTCCAATTGCAAAACTTGTGAAAGCTGTGATCATTCATATTTCTTACCAAAAATCGATTTTTATATAAGAAAACTAAAATCGGCCGTAGATCCTTAAATAACGCTTTAATTGCAAAACTAGTGAAAATCTGTGATCACTCATATTCTCAATCAAAAGTCAGTCTTTATATGAGAAAACTAAAATCGGCCGTAGATCCTTAAATAACGCTCCAATTGCAAAACTAGTGAAAATCTGTGATCACTCATATATTTCTTGCCAAAAATCGATTTTTATATTAGAAAACTAAAATTGGCCGTAGATCCTTAAATAACGCTCCAATTGCAAAACTAGTGAAAATCTGTGATCACTCATATTTCTTGCCAAGAATTGATTTTTATTGAGAAAACTAAAATCGGCCGTAGATCCTTAAATAACGCTCCAATTGCAAAACTAGTGAAAATCTGTGATCACTCATATTTCTTACCAAAAATCGATTTTTTATATGAGAAAACTAAAATCGGCCGTATATCCTTAAATAACGCTCCGATTGCAAAACTAGTGAAAATCTGTGATCACTTATATTCTCCATCAAAAGTCGCTCTTTATATGAGAAAACTAAAACCGGAAGTATATCCTTAAATAACGCTCCAATTGCAAAAATAGTGAAAATCTGTGATCACTCATATTTTCCATCAAAATTCACCCTTTATATGAGAAATTAAAAATCGGCCGTAGATCCTCCAATTGCAAAAATAGTGAAAATCTGTGATCACTCATTTTCTCCATCAAAAATATATTTTTATATGAGAAATCTGAAATCGACCGTAGATCCTTAAATAACGCTCCAAATTGCAAAAATGGTGGAAATCTATGATAACCCATATTTTTAATAAAAAAATCGATCGAATCGAGATGAAGTAGTTCCATTAATAACGTGTTAATTCAGAAGAATTATTTAATCCTGTGATCACTCTTATTTTAAATTAATTTTTTAAAATGCAGTTTATGATTTATTTCAATTATTTTGTTTATTATTAAAACACGTACTTAAATAATAACATACAACTTAATTTAAACAACATATCGTCTAACGAATCGTTCGTACACTTTATTTCTTTTTGTTTTTGTATTTTGCACTTTCAAACAAGTGATACCAGCCTTTGACATTCATAATTAATTTACTTAAAATCTAATTTAAACAATTATTACATTAATATTAAATTTTGCAATAGACAAAAATATATTCTTATATTTCCTTATAAATCGTGAAATTTAATAATGAAGTGAAAAGCAAATGAAAATTAATATTAATTTATGTACATAGCAAAGTTTCAAATCAAAAATGAACATTTTGAATTATATTTTATAATGCACTGCTATATTGTACGATTTATCAATTATGGTTAAATACATTTAATCATGGAATTATTCAGACACAAACTAATTATGGGTTCATATTTAGCTTAAACTATAATTAATTAAAACTTAATACTAAAAATTTATTATTTACAACAGTTATAGTAAAAAACAAAAAATGTAGTTACAAACAATTTTGTTATTGGATGTTTGACATAAAACTTGTTGACATTTTTGTTTTTAACAATTTTAAAGTTAATCATTGGGATATTAAAGAAAAATAAAATAATTAGGTTAATAACCAACTACAACTATAATCAATCGATAATAAGTACAAATGTGATGCTGTCTGGTGCACAGTGGGGTGTTTTACAATATTTCTTTAAATATATTTCATTAATTGATAAAACATTCTATAATCTTTTATTTATTTGTATTATGTGCATCTTTCGGAACTTTTTCCTACTTGAGTCATCGGCAAAATTTAGTAAAAATATTGCTGTTTGTAATTAAAATTAACAGTTTCAGGTAAATAATATTTTAATTTTGTCTTATTTCCGAGGGAATTAATATTTGTTCTCAATAAATAAGAAAAACATGCGGTATGATCAGCATGAATGTTTGATATTCGCAGCTTTGAAAAGTATATCTTTATATAAAAAGTGTTTAATGTAAATTGTAAGAGTAAGTCAGAACGCAGAAAGCTATCGTAGTGTCATGCAATTTCCAATCAATGTTTGTTCTCAATAATTTCGATAAAACCACATAGTTCGTTTCCCATCAGCGACTGTGGTAAAGGAGCTCAAAGTTTGCTCGATGGTGGAACTTTGACCTACTTGAGTCAGCTGGAAGTAAAACCAAAGAAATCAATATTTGCCCTCAATAAATAAGAAAAATATGCGGAACGATCAGCATAATGAAAGTTTGACATTTGCAGCTTTAAAAAGCTGTAGCTTTGCATAAAAAGTTTTCAATGTAATTTATAAGAGTTACATAAAGTAGAAACGCAGAACGCTCCGGTAGAGTCATGCAATTTCCATTCAATGTTCGTTCTCAATAATTTCAATACAAAGAAACGCAAAATATCTGGAAGTAAAATGGTTTGTCTTATTTCCAAAGAAATCAATATTTGTTCTCAATAAATAAAAAAAAAAAACACGCGAAACGATCAGCAGTTCGATGAAAATTTTGGCATTTGTAGCTTCCAAAAGCACAACTTTGCATAAAAAGTTTTCAATGTAAATTCTAACAATTAAAATTTTGTTCTCAATAATTTCAATAAGACGTACGATTGCATTATATGTATTTATATTTAGAAAACTAATTAGATTTCTATACTTTACACCACTAAAGTGAGGAGGGTTTGTGCTGATGTTTAAAAGGAACAGAAATATTGGTGTTATATAAAATATTCCAATCGGTTAGAAATCATTTTCGGAGTTGATAAAGCCACGTCTTTCCGTACAAAAGTTTCGCTTAATACTTCGTATACAGTTTTCGTTCGGGCCACTAAATTAGTCTTATTTTAATTACTCTTAAGTTAAATTGTTAATAAACCTTGTTCCCTTACTTGTTTTGTGTTAAACTGTGCCAAACTGAATAACTAATAAGTTCCCAATATTTGGAATAAGAAAATATTGCCAATTTCAGATTTGTTTTCAATGAGATCAATAACTTTTCTGATAAATTATAATAACATTTAAGTTATTTTTTTATAAACTATAACCCACTGTGCCTTAAAAAATTATAATGTCTTTACGTCACAAAGGAAGCATGTAATTATCAAAGAAAAAAAAATATTAAAAGTATCCAGCAGCAACATACGAAAAAGAAGATCAGAAAATTAAAACCAAAAAGCAATGTCAACTTAATTGAGACCACAATCTAAAGTATGTTGTTCGATGGTTGTGCGTAAACGACTTTGATCGCTTTGTGAACGTTTTAAACCGGTACGCCAGCGCTTGAGGCATCCCAAAATGTACGAGTGTTTCGTGCGACTCAAGACATAAACATAAGGGTCCGATGTAAAATGTAAAGCCATCAACATATCGGCTACTAAAAAGAAAGGATGAGCTTTGGGAACACGATTCGGTACTATGGCCATGGGTATGGCAATCTATAAAAAGAAGCCAAAAAAAAAGAAAAGGAAATAAATTAAATACGCATTTGAAATAATTTTCTTCAATTAAAAATCAATTTACAGTTATTTCTGTCTGTCTGCTGTCTATACTATACAGCACTTACCATTTGTGGCATCCAGCAGATAACAAATGAAATGCTCAAGAACAACATTAATTTGGCGAATTTAATTTCATCGGGCGATGCGGCTGCTGTCAAAGTCACGCTGTTAGTGTGATGATATTGTGGTATGTGTGTCGTACTGCTTTGATGATGCTGATACAGTGTCGTGCCGCTAGAGCTCTCACCATCAATTTGTGCGGTCGAACCCTTTTCACAACGATTTACCATGTCGTAAGTCATGTGACGTTGAGTGGTACGTGTACGTCCAATGAAGCATAGAACGCGTGTAACAAATAAGTTGCAGGCGACTATAACCACACACAATAGAGTGCCTGTAAAATAGTAACAAAAAATAGGAGAAAATATACATAGTATAATGCTGACAAATGACATTCAATGAAGTAGCAAGAAATAGCAAAAAATCAATGATCAAATTTACTTTACTTAAATTACATTACATTAAATTATGTTTAAGAAAACATTAAGGACATTGGAGCTGAACAACTTGAAAGGAATTTCAAATCAATTTGTATCCAAGGATGTCTTTTTTTTACAACATTTGGGGGTGAGTTTTTTTATTTTTTGTATTTTATTTAGAAGATTTAAAGAGCTTAGAAAAATCTTTGTGAATAATATGTATGGAAATTATTCATGTAGAACAATTTTCCTCTAAATAAATTTAAAGTACTTTCACAGATTTTGTCGGAGTTTAAGTTATGTTAGGTTAGAATGGGTAGCTTTTAATTGATTATATTAAGTCCATTGAAAAGCTCAATAATTAATTAAATTAATTCCATGGAGTGCTGTGGAACCACTTGTCTGCTTCTGAGAAACCCATTTGCAAAATATCATAAAATTAAAAGATGATGCATTTATAGAGCTTATTCACAGTCTCTACACTTTTTTGTAGTATTTACATGCCTTCAACATATAGTTATTATGCCCTCATAAGTCCTGGATTCTTTCTCTTTTGTCGACTCATATTCGTCAATCTCGTTCGAAGTTGCGAGCTGCATAATAATAATATCAAATTGCTCTTCAGTTGATTTGGGTCCAGTTAAAGACCCAAATTGCACAACAGCTTGAGTTCTCTTTTATTTCCTCTTATTCGCCAATCAAGTTCTAAATTGCAAGCAGAATAATTGCATTACTTTTTCGGCCAAATGCATCGTATAAGATCCAATTCAACCCGTGAATCGCGGAAAGATGTTAATAAATGGATTAATCATTGGCTCTTCATTGAAATGAAACAAAGTGTGTTTTATTATTCATTTACACGAGGTCAAGATCATTATTGAAAATCGGCTTTTCAGCTGGAGAACAGATGGCAATATTTGATTCTGCCAGATCACGCGCAAAAAATACTGCGATCAAGTACTTGACCTATTAAAGTTGAACAAAACATGAACAAAACATATTAAATACCCCGACTAGGAGGAGTGATTGTTACCCAGTTATATCCATAGATAAGAATATCATTCCCAATAATAGTATTCAGCATTTCACTATGCATCTGCCTAACCGCAGAGCTGAACTTACAAGATCAATGATGTCATGAGCGATACCGAAGCATTCGTATCCTCCTGAGTGTCACTTAAGAGCATTCTTCAAATTTAAAGATCGTGCAATCACGCTAATATAAATGAGGATCATACTTCAAGGTCACGAGGCGAAGTGATCACCACCAATAAGTATTATCATATAGTTAACCGAGCTTAATAAATGTCCATCAGGAAGAGATAACCTCACTCACATTTATGGAAATAACGAGGTATACACGATCAGTTTTAATGGGTGCTTTGGAACGCTAATTGGTAGTGTTCTTATCAGTCAAGGGGTTGTGGGTTCAATGCCCACCAACTTTACTACAACGGACATAGGTCAGTACTAAAGAAGGAGGTTGGGATAACAAACCGCATTTCTCAACATTAGTCGCGCAGCCAAATCATTCATTGGCATTTGTTGATACGGCAACAGCATCGAAGGATTTATCGTGAAGTACATAGCAGATGCATATATCAGTGTTTTAATTCTCCCCATGTTTTCACTAGAATTGGATCTTCGTTCTAGAACATTGTAAACTAAAGAACATATGTATCAACCGAAAGTTTTTGTTCCCAGAAATGAACTATCGGCCACAGTCGAACTGTTGTAACAAAACAACGTATACCCAGAAGAGACTACACCAATATCTAGTACATGATAAGTCCTGCAGGCCGCTTCTTCTTCCCTAATTTTCTATAACAATTATCCACGAAATGAAATATAACTACCAATTGTTAACCTGACAATTCCCCGACTTTGGAAAAGGCAATCATCTGCTAAAGAAGGAGGATGGGATAGCCAATTGCATTTCTTAACATTATCGAAAGATTTATCTCGAAGTTCATAACAGTATATCAGGGTTTTAACGGACTCTCCCCCCGTTATTGGCTTCAACCAATAGCCACCAAGTGTACCATATTCCCTCTAGAATTATATCTTCGTTCTAAAGCAACGCCAGTCATACTCGCCCAAAGATTGTTAACTCAAGGACTCATGTTTCCGAAAGTTTGTTACAGTCGAACTGTTGCAATAACAACACATATCCTGAGGGTTCCCCAATTGACTCTTCAATTTTGAGATCCTCGCTGACCCGAGGTATTGGTAACACCTCTCTTCATCTGGATTCTAACATGCTCCGGGGCGATTTATAGGATGGAAGGTAGGACAATTCTGATGCCGATTTACCAGAGATTTATTTAATAAAGATATCAGGTACATCTGGTCTGCAGACTAATCTTACACCTCAGATTAAATTCATTAAGAAATCACTCAAAAAAGAACTCATAGACTAAGGCGATTGTTAATTTTGAAGGCTATTGGGAAATATAAACACGAGCTGAAATTTTGATAAAATGTACTTCCGATACTATGAACAAATGAAAAAACTTTGAAAAAAAACCGTCATGCAAAAATGAGCTGGTCTATTGTTTAGATAAGAAACCATAAAAATCATATTTCAATGTTATCTCATATTGCGTAAAAAGGGTATTAGAAACATATACATTCCTAGATTCAATGAATGTTATAAATGTTGAATCTAAACATATGTTCACAATAAGATTTATTAAATTGTACATGAATATATTTTGAAGTTAAAAGTCCTTAAACAAATATACATTATTTACTCTGCTGGGAACATTGAACTTTTGAAATGACATGTATGGAATCATATTATTATATAGGCATACAACCAACACCCACCCACACATGTTAATAAAATCTCTGTTTGTACAATATGTTACAATAGTTTTGGTCTGTAATTTTCCACTTATTATTATTGTAAGTTTTGTTTGAAAAGTTTTATTATAATTAAACTTACCAAATAACATAAACAATACTGAATAGGTTTTATTCAAGAAACCCTCAGCATCACGATAACGTAAACATTTCACTTTATTTGGATCACTATCATCCATATAGGCACCGAAACCAAAGAATGGCAAAAACGTAATGACCACTGCTATTAATATTAAGGATTTAATAGTTTTACGCACCAATTCATATGTAATGTGCTAAATGACAGAATAAGTGAAAAGAAAAAGAATAGAAAAATATTACAATATGTTTCAAAGAAAAAACACCAAAAAAAACTTCTATTGTGTATAAGAACATTATTACTTTGAAATGCTTTGTGCTTATTTTTCCCCTCAAATTACTTACTTTGTGATATATAAATGGTCTTGCCAAAGCCATCCAACGTTCTATGGCCATAACGGCTGCTATGCAACCGGAACTTAAGCCGAAAAATCTCCAAATGACTTTTCCCACACAATCCCATTTGGTGTATTGTTCAAAGATTTCACGTGGTACATAGAATTTCAACAGCAGAGTGGTTAACATGCCCAATAAACCGATAAAATTGTTAGTGGATAAACAACTGAAAAATGTAAGAAAGAGAAAAGTATGCATAAGATTGATTTGTCATTAGGGCTTTTGCGATAATAAATATGTATGAATAAAAAGTATAGTTAATAGATTTTATTTAGCTGGAAAATCAACGTCAAAATTCATAAATACATAGTAAAAATCATTTTATTTCTTTAAGTTATTTCTAAAGACTTTCTGCTTAATGAGCTCAATCAGTTTATTGCGTCCTGATACTTTACTGGTTTTGTAACCAATATAACCTGTCACAAAAAAAATATGATAAATTGCTAGAGTGTGTATTTTATTTCCCAGCAGTACGATAAAGAGTCAATGTATCCGAATATGTCAGTAATTTTTGAACAAACTTCTAAACTCACCGTTGTCTCTAAATAGTCCTTCGTAACGAATGCATTTTTTCTAAACGAGAGTGAAGACATTCCACACTTTAGAGTCCCTTTTGTAAGCTAAAGCGAAAGCAGTCTTCACTTTACCATCTCCAAGTAATAACATGAGTAGACACTTTAAAAAAACTTAAGCGAAAATGTTCATTGCCAAGTCTACTTTGCAGAAGCTTTCCTCCTTGTAATTTATGCAGTGACGACTGACTTCCCTTTAGGACAAGCACATGTTAAAATAAGTAGCTGGTCACCTGGGTAGTCGGTGGATAGGGGTAACTCCAAGTGGTGTGTTAAATAGCTAGTTCAAGATGTCCACCCGAACATCCTGACATCTAAAGCAATATTTCTTGATGTAACTTTGGACTCTAAGTTTTCGTGGAAATGTAATGTTGAGAGTCGAGAAAACTTTTGGTAAGAAATGAGCACTTAAACCCTATTTTGACCTATATTACACTAGTCTGGTGAAAGGGCGTCTGTCCATTTTTAATAAGGTACAAAGGTTGGCTTGTCTTGCTATTACAAGTCATTTAAGTTAAACGCCTTAGGCCGATCTGGGAGGTATTACCCCTGACACCTGACGTATTTGTGCTAAATCATATCATAGGCTCGATCTAGAGTCAAGAGTAATCAAATATTAATCATAACTTCGAGACACTGCGTTCGATGTTTTGATCAAGCTGGAATTTACCCTATCGATGTGGACACGAGAAACATCCTAAAACTAAATCTTGTGACTAAACATCTATATAGACTTTGTGGATAAACATCTACATAGACCGTCTTGCACCTTTAATGACTCTCACTTTGAACATGATATGGATGCATTATCAATTGAATTCAATCCCTATCGCTACTTAAATGACACTTGTCGAATTTATTTGGATTTCAGGACATTATTAGAGATAATGAAATTTCCAACAAATGGGCCATTAAGGATATTCATACTCTTTTGGCTGTGGTATCGACCATGAAAAGTTCAAAGTTCAAATCAAGTTACCAACTAGAGAAGACTTTGGGACGACGAATCACTGTCTACATTGACAATATTGCATCTCTAAAGGGTCTCTCCACGAAGGAGATGAAGTCGAAATGAAATTTCCAATGAATGAGCCATTAACTTCTCTGACTTCTTCTCTCTTTTGGTCTTTGAAAGAAATTCGTTAATGATTCTTAAGGGCATACGCAATAAGCACTGTATGATTGGACTAATGTCAGATCGTATGGGCTTTTCAGGTAATAGTTTTTGCAGAAGTTATGCCACAAATGTCGAAGTGGTTTACGTGAGTACCTAGTGTGTATCCCTATCTCACGGTGGTCATCCACTATGTGAGCTAAAATATAACGACATCACCACCGCAGGTGGCAATTTACGTATATGTATGCCGGTTCATTTTACGCGCACTTTGCTCAAGTACTCGAGCTATCTATTCTCTTGCCTGTTCTTCCTCCCGTTGAAGAAGAACAGGTGTTATGAGCAAGCTCAATCTACCCCGACAAAGGAAAAACCTTATATGTCGCTCAACCACACTACTGAGATTCGGCAACAGCACCTAGGGGACGTAATTGGTAGTCCGAAACACGGATCATTTTAATTGGCAAGCTTTATTTCAGTGGCCACAAAGACCCACTGTGATAAGTTGAGCATGTTTTAGAGTAAACTCTAACACACTCAACCATGAAGGAAAATCGACGATAAATTAAAGAAATGGCAATGACGACCTTGCTCCACAACTCCGTCCAGCCAAAGCATTATTCAGCACATCATAAACCACCAAATCACTCCATCCGCTCTATAGAATCGGAGTACATACACATCAGAAAGCACCGGAAAAACTCCACTTCGTATACCCAATCTTTGCATTATCAGCTCAAATCCAAAATTTTATTAATCCACAGTCATGCTCTGTAGCATCTAGGAAGGATAACAGAAATTCATTATGAAAATTATATTTCACCGTGTATCAGTCTTTTAACCAAGCACCCTCTTCCTGCGATTTAGGTTTCAACCACAGCCACTATGTGGATCCCGAAGGAACCTCAACCTAATGTCCAGAAGTTTTGACAGTAACATTTGCTGTTCTGGGGCTCTTAAAATGTACGTTTCACTTATCAAGAGTCAAAATACAATCAAAGTCTACGACATGGATAGCTAGACTTTACTATTAAGTGAAAAGCTATACAAAATTATCAGTGATTCCAACACAGCGGTGTTACTATTGATATTTTTAAGTTGGATTTCTGAAGTACACAAATCTTTCAAAAGGATATATTTTGCATTAAGAAATTAAAATGACAATCATCAAGTGACAATCGACAAAAACATTGTAATTATTGACATCGCGAAAAAATCTACATACTGATGGTTTTAAACCCATTTATTCTTAAAAGACAATTTCTATTCATATTACATTTATTTTTGTGTTTCTATTTATATATTCAGTCTGCACAAAAGTTCCCACTCCTTTCAGTAAAATTTGGTTTATTTGGTCTTTGAAAATATAATTTCCCTTTCTACTCCAATCTGTCACAAACATAATGATAAAATAAAATGTATTGACTTTATTTCCCCACATTTAAGGCAATGGACACCCAGCAGTTCGACAAAGAGTCAATGTATCCGAAAAAATACAGTGATTACCATTAACGTCTAACCACCTGGTTGGCTCTAATTCGTCTTTCTAATTTTCTAATTCGATGGTGAAGATAATCGTCACTTTAGTGTCTCCTTTATAAGCAAGAGAGCGGTCACTTAAAAAACAAACTTAAGCTTTTCTCTATCTGTCTGTCTAAATCTTCGAAATCTATGAATAAACGATCTGGCCAGTCGTTGGCTAGGGGTAACCCTAAGTGGTAGGTAAAATAGGTAGTTTGGAACTGTCCGACCGAACTGCTGGGCTTAAGCTCCCTACAAACACTATGACAAACGTTGATTCTATATTTACAGATTTTTAATGTTAAATAAAGCTTTTTGTAGAGAATATTTGTGGAAAATAATGTCCCCATATCTCTTCTGGTTTAGACCCTTCCAGTTCCAGAAATCGAGAGATATATGTACAATGTACATCGTGCATAGCTAAAAGGACTTTGAACCTTAGAGGCGGGGCAATGGCAGAGAAATTTTTTTCATTCTCCTCTTCCTGACAGCTCCTGGTTAAGTCTTCTAGTACAAAAGGCCACTATAGTCAAGTTCCGTATATTTGCTTTCGGAATCTTTGTGGATTATACGACCGCCACATAAGTATTTTACTTGAATTAGGTAAAAAAAAAGGCTTAAATCAATATATTATAATACTTAGCTATAATTTTGCTAAATATTTTCCTAATGTGTCCAAAGCTGTAATAAGTAAATTATATTCTAGATTATATTACCAATTAAATTGATTTGTTAACACCAACAGAAATAACACACCATATAGCCCAAATGACACATCGACCTACTCAAGTGTCACTTTTGGTTTGATTTAAGTACTTATGTATGAATTCTTGTCAATAATATTTTACTTATCTTTTACTTATTTCTGCAACTGAGGGATTTATTTGTAATAAATAATAATAGTAATAAGTTTTAATCTAAATTGCTTTACAAGTAAAGTAGTTTTCTATAGGTTTCATTTCTCCAGAAATGTTCAATTGTTTTGGGGTATTGAAGTAAACAAGGCAAAAATCTAGATATTGTGGTAAATATGTATGTATATGTTTTCTGCGAATTCGATTGAACTAAACAAACAAATAAATTAGATAAAGCTAAATAACTAAGGGGATGATTGGCCATTTCAAATGGTCTTAAAAGCTATTTATTTAAACAACAGCTAAGGATTCCTGAGAAAAAGATTTGCAGATATGAATATAATGAAGAAAAAACTTATTTGAATTTGTAATTCTCTAAGTCAATGAACTCATATTTGATATGGTAAAGTAACCAGGTCTCCTTTCAAAAAAAATTTTGAACTGAAACAAAAAAATATCAAAATGAAAAATAAATTTATGCACTGAACTAGAACTGAACTAATGAACTAGAACTGAAAAACTGAATAGAACTGAACTAGACTGAACTAGAACTGACTAGAACTGAATAGAATGAACTAGAACTGAACTAGAACTGAACTAAACTGAACTAGAACTGAACTAGAACTGAACTAGAACTGAACTAGAACTGAACTAGAACTGAACTAGAACTGAACTAGAACTGAACTAGAACTGAACTAGAACTGAACTAGAACTGAACTAGAACTGAACTAGAACTGAACTATAACTGAACTAGAACTGAACTAGAACTGAACTAGAACTGAACTAGAACTGAACTAGAACTGAACTAGAACTGAACTAGAACTGAACTAGAACTGAATAGAATGAACTAGAACTGAACTAGAACTGAACTAGAACTTGAAACTAGAACTGAACTAGAACTGAACTAGAAACTGAACTAGAACTGAACTAGAACTGAAACTAGAACTGAACTAGAACTGAACTAGAATGGAACTAGAACTGAACTAGAACTGAACTAGAAATGACTAGAACTGAACTAGAACTGAACTAGAACTGAACTAGAACTGAACTAGAACTGAACTAGAACTGAACTAGAACTGAACTAGAACTGAACTAGAACTGAACA